TCTAAGATAGTCTAACGCATAAGATTAAAAGTATAAAATTAAAATATAATAGTTAGTAATAGCAGTAGGGCTCAGTGTTGACATATTCTTGACAGAAATGTAACAGAATTTAACCTTGTAACTTGGGGTCACTGACCAAAGGCTTTATGACGATGAAAGGACCTGGTTCTCTCCCTTTATAGTTAGTTAGCTTATAGTTATAGTTTTTAAGTTTTTTTTGGACTAAGATAGTCAATTCAGGCATGTCTAACGCATAAAATTCAAGTATATAATAATAATATAGTAATAGTAGAAGGGCTTGTTGACATGTTGTTGACATATTCTTGACAGAAATGTAACAGAATTTAACCTTGTAACTTCGTAACCTTGTAACTTCGTAACTTTGTAACTTCGTAACTTCGTAACTTTGTAACTTCGTAACTTGTAACGCTATTTCCAGGGACCCTTTTTGGAGAGACTGCATGCATTTCTTTATTTTGTTAACACCAAAGGTGTCAGTGTTAATAAACATTGTGTGTTTACGATATTTATGGGGTTTAGATTTGCTATACAAAAGAAGGACTGGTGGTTTTATTAGTCAGTATGAATAGGTAACTCCCAGTAGCTGGTTGATGAATAGTCGATAATAGATTCAGTGTTAACCAGTTTCGATCACGATTTTATCAATTTTCATTTCAAGTCATTTGTAATATCTTGTAAGAGAAGGGCCTGTCGTACGGCATAGAAGGCTCTCATGTCCCAATTTTGTGAAGAAGAACTTTATCAAAGTTTTTTAAGTCTACAAACTTAAACTGAAAAGAAATTCTTAAAGGAAGCGCATTAAGGTTCGAGTCACCGCTAAGGTGGAAAGGAAATTAAAGGAAAGGTAGCGGGTGCTAATCGTCCTGCAGCTCGATGCGCTCTCAAGTCGAAGTACAATATTACAGACACATTTTACAGACACTTACACATAGGAGTGCTGCCGGCTAGGCGCTTCCCTTACACAGCAACGTCGACTGATCGCGGAGCACAGCAGATAGAAATGGGTAAAATAGAAATGGTTCGTTTTTACCGAGTGAGGAAAAACCGGAAAAGACCCGAAAAAAAAAACTCGAAGCAAGGAAGAGAACGAAAAAAACTCAAATCACATATGGCGTCCGATCGAGAATCGACCAGGGTCCACAGAGGTGCAGACAGGCCAGTGCTCTCACCGCTCGGCCATCCTTGCTTCACCTATACATTGTTTAACCCTATATTTTCCCTAAACCTATCCATTAACCTGCACTTTTTTGATATTCATACAACGGCATGCATGAATAACACGTATTTGTACATTGAATATATAATTAAGGAAACTTCTATAGGGACATGAGAGCCATGCATATTGCCGCATTTTAAGCCGAGTGAGAACTGGGCAAAATTCCCTAATTGGATAGTCATGACATAAGACTTACATAGAAAGAAAGCCCTTGTTGACAAATGCAAAGTTCCAAAATTTGATGTAAATCAGTTCAATAGTGAACGTGTTACAACCTTTCAAACATTCCAAAGAAATGTATGTGATCTCGCAAATGTGTCTGGAAAATGGTCAAAATGCGGACACATTCACGGCTTCCCAAAAAAAGAAAAAACTGCGCCTTTTAAAAAATTGCAGCTCTCCTATATTGTAAGTGTGTCATGAGACTTGACCAATAAAGTTTTTTTATCAGGTAGTTGACTCGGCTAGTTAAAATCAATAATAACAATAATAATAATAAACTTTATTTAACGATGCAAAAACCAATAAAAAAACAATACTAAAACTCCTGCTTACGGATTTCCCCGTTTGAATGACGGCTTTGGGRTGAGCCTTTTCTCCGACAATAAACTTGATAAGAAATCTGATGGCTAATCAAATTCTTAGAAAATGAGAATTTTATCACGTGGTTTCTCTTTAAGGTGGTTTTACCAGCGATGTCTTGGAAGCCCACAACAAATATCGTAAAATACACGATGCTGAACCATTGGAGTTGAACAAAGAGTTGAGTACYGCAGCTAAAGAGTGGGCTGTAGAACTTTCAAAGAAGGGCAAATTGACGTCATCTCCCGACAGAAAATACGGAGAGAACAACCTTTATGACTGCACTAACAGGTCGCTGACTGGAAAATCAGTTGTAAAAACATTGTAAGAACAAATCATTAAAACTCGCAGTGGAACCTCGTTAACCCGGCTACCGAAAGGACCGAGAGGGATAGTCGTATTAACCGGGTCGAAAATTATGGGTTTGTTTTAGCGGGATCTAAAAATTCGGCCGTTAAAGCGAAATTTTGAATGATTGTGCAAACAAAAATGGCCGTGACAATACTGCCTTGTCGATACCGTGATGTTTTTTTGAATCACTATTCTCATTTGCTCTTATCGCTTCCAAGCGAGGCTCCGTGACCGTGTCGGTGTTGTGATCCGTGCCAGTCATACAAAATCCGCTCTATGACGGGGTGGCCTTATTAAGCATGCATCGCGGTTCCACTGTATGACCGAGAGCGTCTAGTAATCTATTTAGTTTTATTTTAGCCATTCTATTCATTGTTTATTCTCTTAATACTATATGTTATCCTCTTATTATCAGTTATCAGGAAGTTTCTGATTATGACTACTTCAAAAACCCAGGATTGAGTTCATCCACTGGCCATTTTACCCAATTGGTTTGGAAAGAGACCAAGGAACTTGGTGTTGGAAAAGTTAATGCTCAACTGAAAGGGGAAAATTGTACGTTTTCAGTGTTCTTTTACAATCCGCCAGGAAATATTATCGGAAAATACGCTGAAAATGTAAAGAAGGGTAAATTTCAAAATGGACCACTGCTTCCATAGATCTGTTCAGTAAGTTCCTTGCATGTTATACTAGATTAAAAACACGATAGGCGATGCAGTCATCAAACTATTTAATGCAAGCTAAAACCCAAAATGCGTTTGTAATACCCATCGTGATTTGCAATAGACGTTGCACGTTAACCATCGAGGGGATTAAAACTACGACCCGTGGAATCAGTGTCAGAAGAAAAAAAAGTAAATTATAACCAACTGATGGATGAAATTTATAGTTATCTAAAATATTAAAATAAAATAAATGTTAAAGTTGTCTTCTTGGAATAATGACTACAACATAAACAGCCAATATTGCGTGGACCCAAATAAGGGGCTTTTTCAAACTCAATATGTTTCGTAACGTCGTCGCAAGACAAGTCGCTCATTGTAATCGCACCTTAGCAAACTTCGTATCGATGGTATAACAATTCGACTGATTGACCAACAAATCGTTTAGATAAGGTATGATTTAACAAATGCACTCCTTCCACAAAGCTAAGACGGGAAATTGACTCGTAATATTGCGATGAATTTGGAATACTTTTCGATAATAAATAAAAATATATAATAAACATTGGCTTCCTTTAGTCTCCTAACCCAACAAGTCGGCGGAGATTTTTCATGTAAAACAGCGAACTGACATGAATTGTACCTTGCGATAATACAATTTTCATTTGACTTATTTAAATAGGTGTATCTGAACAAAGAGAGTGTTTCTTGATCAATATAATCAGTTTCGTTTCATTACGATCAGCTATTCAATTTCTATGGAAATCTTTCCGTCGTTAGCCATATTACCAATCAGTGAAACCGTCTTCTCACTTCAAAGAGTCTGATATCCAGTTTACTTTGCATTTGTGTTAGGGGACATAACTTCGTCTTCGGCAAATGCTGCTAAATATAGTACCCACTGCTCGGCTCCATGACTTCATGAGTTAAGTTGTAGAGATACCTTCGGTCTTGCTGTCTCTGCCAATCGCTGTTTTTTATCCGACGACCTATTTTGAAGGAGCTATCGAAATAAATGTGTATGTCCGGCAATGAAKAATGATAACTCCCTTATCATCAATGATTCATATCCTTCACTGGAACCATACTTTGGCCACGTGCAAACACCGTCAACGTAAGACACGTAGTCTCACAGGCAGCCCATTCCATACTTACCAACATAMAATTTGTTGTTTGATAGTTTTTCACTTTCTTCAGTTGTGTTTTTCATATCAAGGAAATGATTCTTRTGGTTTTTGTCCTTGGAAGCGTATTGTTCCCGCATTTAGTTGCAGGTAAGAAGATCGATGGATCAATCACAATTTATCACCAAACAGCCCCAATTAAATACCAATTGCTTGATAATTAGGTGTACGTTTACCACAGAAACTCAGAGTGAAGGAACTCGTGAACCGAACTCTAAATGTCCGAACTGTTTAAAAGCGTGTGTGTGAGATSGAAGCGACGGTAAAATTAACACAAGAAATAAATACAATTTACTAGATCGCAGCTTTGACTAATCTTTTTCACCTGTTAATTACTGCCTCAAAACAAAGTATGATGTTTATTTTTCCAGCGGAATGCAGTTTCTTTATTAAAACAAAATTAGTAAGCACAATGATTTTAGCCTCACTGTGCTGTTCATAACCAGTACTGACACTTCAAACAATAGACTGTAATCCAGCGAAATCATATGATATGTGTCGCAAACAATATATAGTACTGTCTGAAAATGCGTCGACTACGTGGTATTAGAAAATAGATTTCTATTTCATATAGAAACKGTCTGCACATTTTAATGACCAAATAATRAMGTCTTCTCTGCGTCGTGAGTGCAAAATTTTGCACCGCTTTGACTGTGGTCATTGGTATGGCGTCCTTTGCAAGTAAACTCTTCTGATTTGATTGGTTTCCATACTGAAGCCCAAAGAAAATAATCATGGCATTCTGATGATAATTAGTGTGGCTAAATTTGTTCTGCTTTTGCTTGTATAGTCAATACCTGGAAGCCTTGGAAGCCGATTAAGTTTAGACAACAAAGTATCGAATCATTTGCATAACCTGCATTCGCAATGAATTTCCATTAGAAAATTTCGAAATAAAACTGATACCTACATTGTAGCAGACCAATTGCTTCTCTTAATTGATTTTGCAGCCGCGAAATTGGATTTTCTAAATTTTAACAAAATGACATATTGTAATGGAATATATTGTGATCAATGATCGATTTAAAAACTTCAAACTTGACATTTTATTGTTGTCAATAAACGTCTTTTCATCTTGAAGGCCTTTTTGGAGAGACTACATGCATTTCTTTATTTTGTCAACACCAAGTTGTCAGTGTTTACATTGTGTGTTTACGAAATTTATGGTGTTTAGATTTACTATACAAAAGAAAGACTGGTGGTTTTATTAGTCAGTATGAATGGTAACTCCCAGTWGCTGGTTGATGATCAGTCGATAATAGATTGCAGCAGGTTTACAGTGTGTTTTCCATTTCCATATTGTGTCTACACAGAATAGTGCTGTTTTACTGGTGCATCGACGGATGATAATCATCGAGATGCAATCCCATCGGTATTTCTAGATAGGCCACAAGAATTGTAACCTCGCGATCACCACATCATCGCGAGGTTACTAAGCTTAAATGCCCATGCAAGCTGTACCAGACTCCCTCCGATTCCTGTAACGGATGATGGGCCTGGATTAAAAGGAATTGAGATATGAAGATTTATAAAAGACAAAAGAGACTTAAATAAGCAGGTTATAATCAGTTAAAGGGAAATGATCCCCAGCATTCAATGCCGTCGTGTTTTAGATTTTTCATTTGGTAAATGAGGTGACTTCAAAAAAATGAAACTATTTTTACGATAATACACTTCCTTGATGAGACATCTGATGAACTGTTACAAATTCTTAGAAAATGCGATTTTTAATGTCATCACATGTTTTCTCTTTAAGGTGGTTTTACCAGCGATGCCCTGGAAGCCCACAACAAATATCGTAAAATACACGATTCTGAACCATTGCAGCTGAACAAAGAGTTGAGTACTGCAGCTAAAAAGTGGGCTKGTGAACTTGCAAAGAAGGGCAAATTGACGTCATCTCCCGACAGAAAATAYGGAGAGAACAACCTTTATGACTGCACTAACAGGAAGCTGACTGGACAGTCAGTTGTGAAAGCATTGTAAGAACAAATCATTAAAACTCGCAGTAGAACCTCGTTAACCCGGCCACCGAAGGGACACCGAGAAGGGACACTGAAAAATGGCCGTATCAAAGGGATAGTTAACCGGGTAGAAAAGTATGGATTTGGTTTGCAGGAACCTAAAAGTATGGCCACTGGAGCGGATTTTGTATGACTGTGCAAAGAACATGGCACACCGTCACCGTACCGTACCGTATCGGTGATGTGTTCTTGAATCACTATTCTCATTTGCCGTTATCGGTTCCAAGCGAGGTTCCGTGACCGTGTCGGTGTCGTGTTCCATGCCAGTCATACGAAATCCGCTCTATGACGGGGTGGCCTTATTGAGCATGTAACCGCGGTTCCACTGTATGACCGAGAGAGAACTGGGATCAAGTTGGGGTTCAGTCGAGTAATCTATATTTTCATTTTAGCCATTCYGTTGATCCATATCTTATAATAATCGCTTAGATCATTGTTATCTACACTGCGACGATTATCATTCATTACACATATATTCATCGCAGTTCGAACCATTACTTCATCATTCAATTCATTGTTTATTCTCTCAATATTATGTTATTCTCTTATTATCAGTTATCAGGAAGTTTCTGATCACGACTACTTCAAAAACCCAGGATTGAGTTCATCCACTGGCCATTTTACCCAACTGGTTTGGAAAGAGACCAAGGAACTTGGTGTTGGAAAAGTAGATACTAAACTGAAAGGGGAAAACTGTACCTTCGTGGTGTTCTTTTACAATCCGCCAGGAAATACTATGGGAAAATACCAGGAAAATGTAAAGAAGGGTAAATTTCAAAATGGACCGCTGCTTCCATAAATCGGTTTAGTAAGTTCCTTGCATGTTATACTAGATTAAAAACACGATAGGCGATGCAGTCATCAAACTATTTAATGAAAGCTAAAACCCAAAATGCGTTTTCGTGAGCGAGTTCTCCACAGAACATGAAAATTTAAACACAAAAAGAGAGTTTATGGATAATCGAATAAACGGACTTAAAATACGTTTACCCGTCGTGCTTTGCAAATGGACATGGCGTCGCTGCACGTTGACCATCGAGAGGATTAAAACTATCCGTTGAATCAGTGTTACTAGATGTGATGGATGAAATTTATAGTTATCTAAAATATCGAAATAAAATAAATGTTAAAGTTGTCTTCTTGAAATTATGACTGCAACTTCAAAAACTCATTAATTATTCATGAGGTATTCAGCCAATCCCTGATTGTAATTTGTACCACGTGAAGTAACTTGAAACCAGAGGAAGTACTCGTACCTTGTATTCTACCTTATTTCCAGTTACTTCTACCTTTTTCAAGTTACTTCTACATTATTTCCAGTTATTTCTACCTTATTTCCAGTTACTTCTACCACGTTTCCAACTACTACTAGCTAATGATAATCAAATTATTAGAAATAATCAGTTTAACATTAATTTAGTGAAAAAAGGTCTTTGATACATGACTCCCTCACGACTCGATCCCCTACCGTCCAGTCTATATGCGCCGCGTCTTATACCATTACACCACCGAGTTTCTGATGCGATTCCTCGGAAGATAACATACTTATAAATCTTATGGATTAGGCTCATTAGGAATGCCATGAATAGTAGACAAAGACAATTTGAATAGCTTTTGTTTCAGAAAGCCGTCCGGGAATTGAAGAACAACAAACGGTGCTTCATGHATTYAAAMTTATGAAAACTGAAAACCTTAGTGGAGATGCAATAAATCAATATATTTCTGTTATATGTATTTCCTTCGCTTTTTTCCCCTCCCGAATAATTAAGAGCAAGAGTCTGTAAAAATCGCCTAGACCTCGGAAATCTTCAAAAAAATCAAATCGCTCAAAATTCCACAGTTTGTAGCTACACATGACCTCTCACTAATGGTGTATGTTTTGGCTCGATTGCATTATTATTTTTCGAGAAATATTTTTTTTTTAGTTCGGGCCATCTGAAGTGATTTTCAAAGGCAGCGACCATACCTCTAAACGAGCGAAGTTTTTAAGAAATACTCACACCTTTTCTCAACAAAACCATATTTTCTTTAACTAGATATAATAAAGAACAATTTGAGTGATTTTTATTTCAATCCGTTACAATAAGAATATTTTCAAGATTTTTCAAAATTAGCGACTTTTCGCCTATTTCACACATTCAAATTTTGTGTAAATTTATCGTCAAAAATCCCACACTGGCACATGACTCTGAGGTCTAAAACTATATTCCAGTGAAAGAACATTATTTCTTGTTGCAAAAT